ACATAGTTCTCGAGCTAACTCGACAACGATCTACTATCCAGTAGTCCCCCTGATTCACCGCAGCGTTTGAGTACAGTGAAGAAATCTAGTAACGTGATGCAAAAATAGAAAGGATGTGACGACATATTTATTGGTCGGTATCTGAGGAGCTGACATGTGCTATACGTAGACAGATCAGACGTATAGTGGTTTTGCCGCGTTTTTAAGTACTCTGCCGGTTCAGTAAGTGTCAACTTGTAAATCACACCACACCCGAATAACAGTCCATGTTATTGGTATGGTCGATATTCGATCAATCAGAGTTGGTTCGCAGTATTGTGATTATCAATGAGATACCGATCTGTGCAATTTCTCGACAGCCAGCCAGCGCTCACCTAGGCTACTTGTTCACCTAGGTTACCATTACTGCTGCTGCTGCTGCTGCTGCTGCTGCCGCTGCTGCTGCTGCTGCTGCTGGCAGCAGTAGAGTTACGAAACGGCACAGTGTATTCCAATGCTGTTAGTATGTGAGGACGGTACAAAGTGCGATCATTGTCTGATATTCTGTGTCCTCGGTAGATCATCGTCAAGATAGTAGTATCCTCGACGGCGAAACGGAGAAGCCCAGTGTTACGAACAGAGGCTCTGCAACATCATATTGGTATATTGACGATTCACCGAACCCTCGACCTGGTATAAGTCCGAGCGCACCTTGTTTACCTACGAATGAGACAATGATGAAAAGGCAGCACAAAGAAGGAGATAACGGTTGACAAAGTTAATCTTTATGAACATTATTATTCGATGCGCATAACGGCATTTTGAGTTAGCTGCACATATAGAATAGACTGTATAGTAAGTAAAGGATGTATTTCATCATTAATATAGGGTGGGACGTTATCTTTTATTCAATACATTAGAGTAGACAGATATGAGGATTTTAAGGGAATGTTGTCTAGTATTAGGCATACTATTTCATATGACGAAGCAATTGTTCCGATTCAATAGCATGTTCCGAAGCATGACATATTGAAAACTCGTATCGTGGAAAATTAATCCATCACAACCAATAATACCAAAACGGAAACTATCTTGACCTTATGAAAATGGCAGGCGCATTTTCCTTCGGTGAAGTCCTTAAATCTGGCATATGTCATCCGGAAGGTATCGACAACCCCAAAACCTCGCTGAAGTGACTGTGTGATCAGCTGTTGGTTATGGGATATGACTTTACGAAGTCCTTCCTGAAGCGAAAACAACGAAAATTGATTTTGCCCTATTAACCATTAGTACACGTACCACATGCCATCTATTAATCGGAATAGGGCGGGAGGCTTTCTCGTCTCTGTAACATTTTCTCATTCTGAATAAACGTCACATCTACTTCAACCGTGGGATATGACAGTTCATTACTATGTTGGGCTTCTTCCCCTCGACAATCTACAGAGGTACACTGGCGGTATTGGATACCTTTGGTAGATAATGAACTCCATGCACCCGCTGGTGAAAGCCAGCTCCTAACGTTTTTACAATGACCTTCACTCCGTGTAGACTCTGTCTGAAATTTCAAACCAGTATTACATGATAGCAGAAACGGCCAAAATAGAAACTTATGACAAATGTCCTTTTTCTCTCCTTTTCAAAATCGAGACGTTGAATTATTGAATCGCAAAATGGTTTTGTTACATTAACATTATGACGGAGTTTACTTGTTTATGAATATTTTAGACATAGTTTGTTTAAAATGCCAGAACGTCAGTCGGTATCTAGAACCATCATAGCAGCACGCATAGTCCTTAACAAAGAGACATTCGTTCCGAAAAACCTACACGTATCTTTAGCATCGTTTACAAGTGAAGCTATTTATTGCAACTGCCACTGAGCCGCAGGGCAAAATTAAATCTAGAGAAATCCAAAACAACAATATGTATTTATGATTATTCGATAAAAAGGAACGAGGGCATTTGCTGAACATGAATTTTGTGCGTACCTATCGACCTAACACCTGACACAGTAGCATCACGGGAACGTATTATAATTTAGCTGTTGAACCTTTAGCATTTGATTTTGGCTTTAGTGGACATGCAATAAAGTACGTCCGAGTCGATGTGTGGAAAAGGATATTAAAGAAAGGAATATACCGATAAATGCGCGGATGTGTGCAAAACGTACACAACTCGTCTGGCTGGAGACAATAAACAACGGGGAAAAGGTTATATTGAGGAACACGTATTTGCAGAAACTCATTCACTAGGTGCAATGACCACCCAATACAGAAAAACCGTCTCAATAAGTAAACTATAGTAAGTAATTCACTGACGCCTTTGAGCCCTTACGCTACTTTCAGTAATAAAGCCCTGTTTATCCTCATCAGACTACACGTTATAAATAATATATAATCTCTTTTACATTTTGATAGCTGTTGGCCTAATTCATTGTCGCGTCTAGGGCAAGGTGTTAACATAATTTTGCCGTGGCCTGTATTTTCAACTTACTCAGATAAAAACTTGAGCACAGTATCCATGTGGATCTTGGAGAGCCAATGAACGCCTCCTAAAACGAGAACCATATCTTCACCTTTTACGCGAGATACCGGCACCCTGCAATTTCAGTTACAACAACATACAATAAGCTTAAGTAGACGGACCCTCTATTCTTCGGCTATACAGTCTCCTGTAAGATGGCTCAATTTTGACCATTTTTACTATTAAACCTCTGACTTTTTGTTCGTCTAACTAAAGACTGCTTGTAACATACATTCGGCTATCTATTATAATATTAAATACGAATTTTTCAATTCCGCTAGTTCCCCAATGAAGATGGCTCTTATCAAGTAATTCCCAGCTAAGTCACAGATGGATTTACTGGCGAAATGACAAATGCTTATCAGAAGTTTTAGCGCGGGACGCATAGGGGGCGTTGCGCTATTTCATTAATTTTGTTAGAGACAAAAAAAATCAATAATCATCAAATACCAATAACGTCGCGCCCGTTCTGTCAAAAAAACAACGGCACCGTGTGTCGGCTGTAGAGGAACACAGTGCGTAATATGGTTGCTATTGTAGATGATGCGAAATCCAGCCTCTATAAAAGATCATGTCCCTGCTCTGATCTGTAGTTTACACATTCATTTGAATAGTGATTGTAGTGCATTGTACGCGCACACATCTCGTATAAAGGGCAATCGAACTTCATGCCAGTAACCTCCGAAGCTGTTTTTCTTACGAAGTGGCAATTGGATATCCGCACAGAAATTGCATGGCGGTAAACGTTTTTAATGTTATATTAAGGTCTTTCTCATTAACGTGGTTATAACAGGTGTATGGTGTTTCTTATTTGCGCGGAATAATTTAGTATAACTAGCCCTAGAGGCTTCATCACATTATACATTAGCTAAAAAAAATTCGCATCGAAAAACAGGACGCTGCCTTATTTTCTAGCGGTCATCTGCTGCACAATATGGCTAATGTATTCAACATGTTAATTCTATAGAGCCAAAAGCCGCTGAACTTCGTATTGGTATTGGTGCCTCCTATACGTTGTATGAATAGAACAGGCTGACTTCATTATTGTAGAACAACTGGGTTAATCTGAACGCACGGTAGTATCGAGCAAAAAATGGGCCCCTAAGCGGTTGGTACTTCTTAACCTGCTCATTCTTCAGTTGATCCCACAGATCTCGGCAACAATATTTTCAGGACTGTCTCGACATGTTATAAATATATTGCATCGAGCCTAGCGGATGATCTAACAAACAATCCAGCCTAGTCTAGAAGCTGTTCTGATAACACTCACAGGTCCTTTTTCGGGCCACTTAAGCACCGGCGGCAGCAGCAACAGCGACAGCAGCTGCTACAAAGAACTTTTTAGAGCTAAATTGAGAGAGAGATATCGGAAGATTAAGGGAGCTTGCAGCAGATACGGGCTAGTGGATCAGTATAGGCAAACCTTCGGATTCGTGCGCGCCCCTTCACTTTAAGCTCAGATGTAAGGAATGAAAAGGCAGACGCAAACCGTCGAAGTTCACCACTTCTCCCTTTCGTTTTTGTCGTCAATAAGCGGCTTTGAATCAGGCGGTCCTTCCTCCATCCGAGGCCCATCGGCACCGCTAGCAGCCTGCCTTCATAATACTACGATACGCGGCATCCCTGCACCCCTCACTTCTACTCAACTCCAACCTGAACCTGAACACCTAGCTACTCCTCATTGCTATCACTCGTGAGAAGCTTAAACAATTTGAAAATGCCGCGCGAAAGGAAAAAGGGCACAAGATGGGGAATGTCGGATCGAAGTTCGGTTTGACGGGGCTTTCTGGGCGTACTGAATGCCTTAAAAAGGAGAAAAACGGGACAAAGAGAGAAAGAGTCCGAACGACAGTAAAAAAATAAAAAGACTGACTATCAACAGGAAGAAAAAGAATGGAAAAACGCGCCCTAGTTACACCCTATGTCTCAAGCCCCATCAGTATCCGTCCCCTTTTTGCCTGATTCTCGGAAGCATTTGAAAGCAAAGTGGGCACCACGTTGCTAGGGAAAGCCCAGGTAGATCGAAAGGACAAAGAGAAGAAAAAAGGACAACTGCTTACGCTGATGGAGAGGCACTGAGGTCGCTAGGGCCTGCAGGTTGGTTCTAGAACCTGGGTTGGCTTTGGTAGTTAGTTGATAGACGCCACTGCCCGTTGTTGATTTTCTCTTCGCCATTGGGAGCGTGCTCAAACCCAGTGGAAGCCCCAACACTGTGTGGCAGAACCCGACAGAGGGAGAGGGAGGTGGAGAGTGAAAGAGTCACTTGGTTCGATGAGTGGAAGAGTCGAGTCGGCTTGGCCTGCTGCTTGGTTGAAGCGGTGAAAGCGAGGACTAAGGTACAGTCGAAAGAAGAGGACGGTAGGGGTTAGGCGCCCAACTGCCAATGAGATTAGCCAAAGAAACGCTGTCAGGAACGGGACTTGTTTTAGCGAAAGGGAGATGTGCAGGAGAGACAGGTATAAAAGGGCGTCAAAATGGGGCGCCAAAAAGTCCCAGGCCTGACTAGACCCTCGTGCGTCTGAGAGAGTACTGTTTTTAGAGAAAACAAGCAAACACTTTTTCGCTATATTATGGTGATATGTACCATATATATAGATGCACCACAAAGCGGCCGGGGTTACAAGAAAATTGTTCCCGTTCTACATTTTTGGGTTCTTTCTCCCAACACGATAAGTCGGCTCGCAGTTGTTGTTTATGGAATATAGTGGTTTCCAGAAGCAAGTCTACTGAACGCAAGGAGGGCTAAACATGAGGGTACCGCGAGATTAATGGCGTATAAAGGGCAACGCTTTTAAAACTTTTATTTTTACAGTTATTTTAGAGAAATCTATTTTTCAATTTAAGATATACGTTTTATTTGGTTCTGTAGAAGGAACATCATTTATCATTGCTGTGAGAACGTTTGGTATTCTACAGTAATTTAAATGTTTAGTATATCGTCCTAGGGCGATGATTTTGATTGCGCGCATCAACATAGTTAACTTACCATAAGTAAATCTAAAAGTCAACTACGTGTTTATGTTGCAATGGGGTAATGCAATGATAATTACGTTGCATTGTTAACTTGTTTGGTTGACTTCTGTTCAAGTACCTTCTAAGCATTCTATGTGTATGTATAAGAATAGATCCTGAATTTTAAATAAGGATTTTCGTCTTCCCAGTATGTGCTGTTGGCTGGAAAGGAAAGGTAAGATCCATCTAACAAAGTATCAAATGATTAGTGTTATAATGAAATACAGATGGCAGTAATCGGACGAAACACGAAAGCGTTTCAGCCCCCTTCTTTTCTGCTGTCTTTTCTTTGATGTTTTTTTCTGCGGATTCGATCGTTGCGCGGGAACAAACGAGTCTTTTGATCATGACTGAACCACGCTACTCTGTGCTGGGTAATCGGGCACCTTCAACATGGATGGGGTGGCGCCGAACAGGATCTTGACGTCCGCTAAGAGACGTGAATTATGGACATGTATTGTAAGAACGACAACGCTAGATCATGAAATGGCATGAGAAGCGTGTAATTAACGACATTGTAGTTAAATAGCGTCGTAGCATTTGATCTGATACCGAAAGACTTCTTATAGGCTTGGAACAGCTGGCGAGTGGTAAGTGCATCATAAGCTTATTCAGTAAATGCTATATTTTATATGCTAATGTGACCGGCCAGCGCTGTTCTGAAAAACGCAATCAGAATTCTATGTACATGATGTACAATACACATGGTCCGAAGCTTACATGCGCTTGCTTGTGAAATGGGGTAACTAATGTGTAATGAAATTTTTATTTACCCTATTTTATTCGTAAACTGTATTATTTGTTTCATGACGACTTTTGGTGTGATCTGAACGATGTATAAACTCAGGCCTTTTACGCAAATCGTGATTACGCTTCGAGAACAATGACGGCATTATGTACCAGGTCCAGATAAACTGTTTACAACGCCGTCACATAGCATTAACGCCTACAGGTCGTTAGAAATTTGGGGCTAATTATACTTACATATTGGTAACAAAAGAAGATAATGACTTGTAAGATATGCATTGAACAAGTAATATCGTATGGCCGACTAGATGATGGTTCACCTTCAGAGTAATAAAATGTATCGAGGCTAATATATATATGAATATCTGATAACAGCCCTAGAGTGGACGTTTGCAATCAGTGGCCAGAACATTTTTATTTTCAGTTTGACGTACGTGCTATGGACGCTTTATGTATGACTTTTATCATATTGTACGTTGTTTAGATTGTTATTTTCAGTTAGTTGCTTTACGATTTGTGGATGTTTGAGTCAATGTTGAGAGATCGGATCTACTTAGTCATCCATATGATTCACCTAATGCATTGTGATCTTCATGCAACATTTCACAGAATGATATATAGTCAAACCTGGCCAGTAGCTATTTATAATAAGCGTTTTTTTATCGAGAATATTGTTTTTAACACAGTACGATCTTTTTTTTTTTTTTTAAATAGATTCTATCTCAACTTATCTGCAACATTCTTAATACTCCGAGACATCTCATCCCGTTAAGCTTTAGCTATTTCAGTGCCTACGAGTAGATATAGAGTTAGGAAATTTAATCTTGTTTATAGAAGAACTAAAGAGTTGCTTCGCTCCGGTAGTTCTTGTCTGGCTACCGTTTGTCTTTGGTTGTGGCCAGAGATTGAATCGATCTCTGTTTGTGAACAACGACAAAAGCAAAATTCGATCCTCAAAGAAAATCTTTTATTTTTCTAATTTTCGGCAGACTACAAAAGATGTATTCTTTGTATGACACAGCTCCAGCTACTTTGAAGGATGCTGTCGAACACAAATATAGTACACACATCACATTACGGTTACATTTTGTTTGAAAGACAAACATATTTTGAACTTTTCCCACGCGGCACTTGGAAGTTATCCTTGAACCTCTATACTTTGCCCATGAACATCTAATTTTGAAGTGGACAAAGCCCGCATAAGACGATATAATTGTGCTTTTCATCATACCGGTTAAGACTATATAAAGTGCGTTATCATATACGTAGAGATATATATATATATATATATAGGTTCAGATGCTGAGCTCTTTCAAACGATGAGTTTAATATGATCTATCATAGAATAGATAATTTCACAAATCGTATGCCTCATGAGAAAAACTGCAGTATGTTAGTAACTGCAATGCTTACTACAAGACGTCTGGCGTTCATCATCGATAGCAGACCCACTGACATTTACAAGATGGGCTGTCGATCCGACAAGCAGTCAAGTGTTGCTGCAGGAAATCTAATCGCTATGCCGCGCTAAGGATGAGAAAAACCCTGTCTTCTCGGGCACGCAGCTCTCCTGAAGACCGAATCGGCGTTCGAAGTCAGTCACCATGTGATCAGTCATCAGCGATCATACGGTGCTAGACGGATGGGATAGATGGGCTCTGTCGAGAATGTCGAAGAGACGAAGGTATCATCATAAGTGTGCATGAACCTAGATCTAGCGGCGGGGCTACATTTGAAGGAAAACGCAGGAGCGTAGCTGGGGACGTAAATGCTCATGAGATGACGGGTTCATCATGATAGTGGTCTTATGCCATGGCCCCGTTGATAAACGCTAATGAGATTGACGCCGGCCTACAAGTGAAGCTCAATCTTCCACCGGCCATAAGGTTCAGTACAGAAGCCTCTAAAACGGAGAAAAGCAGCCGATGAAATCAGAGAAAGACTAGCGTTGCTTGAAGACCAATACGGTTTTTGAAGTGCAAGGTATGCTCCTGACAAAGCGCATCAAAAGAGACAGAAAACCTGTTAATCTTTTTAGACATGAACAATGCCTTTAACACAGCAAACTGGGATGCCCGATGGGGATTCCAGAGATTCCAAGCTCATTAACGAAAGCTGGCTACCTGGCATACGCCGATGACTTGGCTGCGATTAACCACTGCCCGAAAGGACAACGCTCCTTAGTATTGTACTAGACAACATAAAGACCTACATGGAACAATGTATTGTAGAGACTACACTAGAGTAGAGTGACGCCATCCATTCGACTGGTAGAAATGAATGCCGAGTAGTGAATTGCTCATTGGGTAAGTGCCCTACTCAGATTATCAGGTATTTCGGGATAGGAGAGGATACAGGACTCAGGGAAGTCGCAGATGTAGGATATGCAACCAGGAAGGCTTTTTTTGCAAAGCTTATGCTTAGGGTAGAGGAACTATCGTAAAAGGTTAGACGCCTATAGGCGACGGTGGCGTAGTCTGTTGCATTGCATACTGTCTCTGTCTGGGCTAACATGGCCGTCAGGAAAAAGAACTACTCTTTACACAAATAGCGGTACGGCACTAGCGAAACGGCAGCAATTAAAGTGGCCCGAGGGTACCGCATAGTTTCCACGAAGGCTAGCGTAGTGCTTGCCAAAATGCTGCCATGAGATCTGCTGGCTGAGCAAGGAGCCGAACGTCGCGGGGTAGCTGTACCTTGAGACAGCACGGAACGCTACACTGCGAAACTGGCAAGAACCATGGGCGCTAAGATCGACCAGGGGTATTGACACACACCTTGGCTCCGAACACCGCGACCGTATCACGTAAACCAAGTCTTGGCTGGCCACGGCCAGTTGTAATCACAGATGATGAGAACTAGAAAAACAGATTACTACGTGCGTCTCCTGTGTATCTGAAAAAGATGGGGTCAAGCATACGATTTTCTGATGCGCGGCATAAATGCAATGCGGCAAGATCTGGAGCGACACGGAAACCTACAATTGACGACGGCGAAAGGAGTCGCAGAAAATATGGTGAGGTCAGAGAAGTAATAAGTCGCTGGGTCAGTTTTCCTCGGCGACATCCAACGAGAAAAAAAAAAGAGCTAAAATGTGAAAGCACAAGAAAAGCTAAAGGGTCCTAGGCGGACCCTGAAATGTAACAGACGTAGAGAGTACTTCGCTAACTCATGTGCTCCTCCAGGTTTCGAAGTAACACTATACGTCTTGCAGGGATCTCCCAAAAAGGCTTGCACTTAGTAGGTAATCGCTCCTTGCCCTATAGGGCCGCCAATAACAACGAAAAACTACTGCTTTTTGAGTTTTGTAGTAATTCCAGACCTGGTCCAAAAGACCGTCTGGCCAAATGTGTCCGGATACGACAGACGAATTCTTCATACCTTCTAAACAAGTATGTCCAGCATACAAAAAACAGCCTTGTATCGACCTTAATGAAGCTAACTGATCTTATGCACTAGGCCATATGTGCAGATTCAGCGACTGGAGACTGGCTCGTCGTAGACAACAAGCGTACAGTAGATATGCCTGGCTATCCTTTTGTAAGTGATCTTGACTATTAAATTATTAGCGAGGAAACTCCTTACAAAAGTGTTTGTGTTGCGATGACTTGAGCCAGATAGATCTGATCTCACCTTCAGGATCGGGTAAATGACGACCACAGATGAGTGTTAATCCCTTTCGGTATACCTGGAAGGATTTCTCCGCCTCTATTCAAGACGATGCTGAAGCGAACGGCCCTGTTTTAAAACTAAACCATTTGGAACATTGTACGAAACACGCAAGATATATTTCAGTGAAATAAATTAGTGAATTTGAATCATCTGCCTTATAATTACCGATATTTTAATCCTGTTTGGTACGTTAATCACTATAAAGTTCGTACTTTTCAGTATCGATTCTCTATGTGATTTACAGAGACATGATGAGAGCTCACGATATACCATCCGGTTCCATCCAGAGACGCCCGTCTTTTTAAATTGTCTTCAACGATGGCGGTATGTTTCAGAGTATAGATATTGCTGCTTTATTTGCCGGTGCGGACGCGTGTGTGTTAGAAGAAACAAAGCAAACTTCGTCTACGAGTCCGTTAAAGAATTTGGATAATAGAAGAGGGGAAAATAGTCACGTTATTGGACAGTGATCTCGGGGCGCATCTGTTCTTAACTGGTACTAGTCAATTTGAATTGCTTCACGATGTTTACGACGGCTATTCGCTGAACGTGCTTTGATGACCCGTTGCAATTTACCACTGTTCGTATTCGAAATTGTCATAAACATCTACGGCGGGCGGCCTGCGTAACTTTCTGCTTCTTTGTTTACATCAGTCCAAACTAGACTATTGCAATTGATAAATACGTATGTTCGATTTACGGCAAGCTTCTATCATATAACTATAACCAGTTTCTTAGTGTTTTCGTATTTTGACCGTTGTCAATTGGTGAATGGCGATGAGATGAACAACCAGGCTAGTAGTAACGGTAACGGCTGTAAATGCTCACGACCTATTCGATTTTACAGATGTTTCTCAAAGCAAGCATTCTAATGTACGTATCGGCATTTCTTACTTTTGGCTGTATTCGTTCGCCTATCTCGAATCGACATGTTTCGGTAACAAGGGGTTCGTTGAACGTACCCCATTTTCAGAAATACCGAGGAATGGCGAAGTGAACGTCCGAGTTCTCGCTACTTGATATTTTCAATATTGATTAGTAGGGCATAAAATCAGTTCGATATGATTCGTATGTCAGCGAAAGCGATATATGAATCTGCAATAAGACGAAGTGATTTCCCTCTGGTAGTTTCCGAAGTAGTTCCCCTCTAAAGCAATACATTTTTTGTTTATATTCTATCGATGCCTGTAAAATAGGATGTGTGCTGCCACTGCGTCGTTGATAACGCAACATTGTCACTAGCATAAGTTATCTTTATAATGCGACGGACGCCCTTCTAGAAGCGACCAACGTATTGTAAGTTTAAGCTAAACTAAGTTTATAGCACTACATGCATTATGGAGGCATTTAATGAGGCTTGTCTACCGTTGTTGCACGCTTCATGCCAGTACTTACTTGTCAATTAGTCGTTTAAGAGTGAGTTCGAAGGACGGCAGTTTCCTCCGCCAGAATTTCGGATAATATGCGAATGCGAAAGTCGTGTGGCCCCTAAAACCAAACACAGAAATGATTTCAATGGGCCAACCGTTATGGGCGTAGTGGGTGTTTAAATAATTAACTCCTTTTATAGTCCTATAATCGAAGTACTCACAAACTTCAGTAGTATGATACTTGAATAACTACACATGATCGAAGTTAATATATTTTAAAATTTATACCGGCGAATCTATTCCAATTTTGAAGGCATGAGTCGTTCTAGGGATCAACATTAGTGACTCCTATCGATGACGTCGTTTTTGCCGTCATTGACATGTAGAAGTGATTTTGGTTAGACGTGCTTAGTAAGGTTTCCGTTTTAAAATAAAACGCAGTTTGTGCTTTTCTGCCTGCCTACGATTGCTCAATGTTATGTAAGTTAGTAACAATTATAAATATTATTACGGTGCTACTGTTCTGATACCTGTTGGTCTGATTGTAGATGGCGACGTCATGCGTCTTCTCCCATCGCGCGAGAGACCCATTTAGTTGCTGCACAGCCTCGAACATCATTCCTCGCAGCGTCGAGTCTCCCAAAAACAAAATCTGGCAAAATCAACAAACAAGCCAAGTGATAACACCATATATCAGAGCCGTTAAAACAGACCAGCGAATCTATAAGTCGATCTTTTTTTCTTTTACCCTCAAGGGCTGTTCCAGGAGTCAGTGTGATTAGGGGTCGAAATACTGTACAGCCACTCTGCTCAGTCTTCACGCGACTACATACTTGTGAAGTTGTGGGTACAAGAATCCGTGAAGTCTCAAAACACGGTTTCGGCGTCATGTTAAGATCTGAATAATCTTCTTACCGAAGGATTGTCAGGATGTTAAAAAAATGATGATCTGTGAAAGCTAAGTCTGGTGACCATGGTGAACGATAGAGATCCTCAAATCGAAGCCCCCGGTGCCTGCTACCCTGAATTTCGCGGCGGGACATTTAGCGTGTTCGTGTAATAGGAGCACTCTGTCTCTGTTGGTTAATTCTGGTGGCTCAACGCAAAACCTCCTCATCTTCTGCTCCGATCGTTGAGGGCGCACTTCAGCCGTAATAAGCGAACACGAGGCTATAGGCAATAAAGCATGCTGTAAATAAAGCAAAAAGACGCAATATCTTTTCGCAATTGTAAATTTGGTGTCAGGTGATTTCCTGCCGGTTAAATACCGATGTGACCGTGTGCAATTGTCGTAATTTTTTGTGACAAATTCTAATTTAATACAAGAATGGATCGCGGTTGCAAAGTGAGCCGATAACAAGCAAGCGTCTACGTCTCTGTCGTGTGCACGGAGATCCTTCGCCGTGTACAAGCCGCGTACAAGGTTTACTGCGAGCTGTCGCCGTAGAGCTCGTATTGGCAAACGAGTTATTTGGTTTTCATAAATTTATTGCAGCCCGACCGCTAAAATTCCAAGTGAATTGTCTCATACTCTAAAAAGTCCAAATGGATCTCTAAAACGTGTAGCGAAACGGTACACCGTTATAAAATGGCATCATCTCGAAACGTGAGATTGAGACCAGTTACGTTTGACACCAAATGATTTGGCTTGAGACTTAAAATAATTTCGAAAAGTATTTTAATCAGATATCCGCTCGTGGGTGCACTCATTATATATATATGTATATATATATATATATATATATAGATATATGGGTCAAATTGGGTGGTAGGATTATCGAATGTTTACTATAATAATGAATACTACAAGAATAGATATTTTTACCGTGTTAAATATTCAATTTTTGAGTGAACAGCCAGCGCCATCAAACAAAAATAACAAATTAACGATCTCTTCCTGAGGATAAAGTAGATATATGTTTTTGAATGAAAAAGGTTCGTGATAGTATATACTACATTTACTATTACACATGTATTTACAACTTTCATAAAAACGATTGCTTTTGTTTTTATGCTATACTTTCTAATGCTAACTATCTGTCAGAGACCGTGTCATAGTCCTTTAGATAACCTCTTCTTGTAAATCGTATGCAAACAAAGCAAAGTAAACAATTTAGGAGCTGTGTTGTTTTGAAAAGGACAAGATAAAATCTATTGCTCCAAACGGATCGAACGTAATTATTTAGCTTATCAGAAAAGCCATAGCTCTATCAGTTCAATGGAAATGCATAGGAATAGATCAACAATGGATTAACGAGATTATCGCCTAACAGTAACTGTGAATTAAAAAATATACAAAGCGAAACACTAAATCTATAGAAAATCGGTTCGAGTGAAGAAGTGACACTATCTCTCTAAATTAATCCTCATCTTAAAAATGTATTTTTCCTAGTAAACGCAAAAAGGTTGGTATGTCTTATGCATACTTATGTATTATTTCGGTATGGGTAACGAGGAAGATGGCAGAGACCAGGGGCAACGTGAAGTTGCATTTATATTTGGTAATATTGATATTTTACCTTTGTGTTGGACAAGCAGTGTTGTAGTACGACCCGCGGCGTAGCGACGTGCTGACAGTCAGGATATGCCCAACGGGCTTCATCCCACGCACACGATAACCCACCATCAGAGCAGCTTTGGCAGGGAATCAGCCAGCGAGCTGTAATTGTCAACGAATAAACAGAGATAATTGAAGGGTCAGCGGCAATATTATAGTTGTATATTCTGCCCGCCTAACACCTAGGGATAAAAATGCTGTGAAATACGTCTGTGTTAGCCAGAAAATTATCGATGCACTCGGTTAGAATAAAAATCGTTGAACAACTAAAGTTAAGCGTCGAGACTCATTGTTCTGTGACCACCTCGATGATTTTGTCAGTAGCCCTATTGGGAGTAGATGCGGGGGGTGGCTGCGTGCATGGAAAAAACCTAACAGTTCCATTATTGTGAGCCGATTGACTAAATGTGAGAGATAGATAAAAGGTCGATAATTTTTTTTTGGTGAAAGATTTTCAACGTAAGCACAATTTACAGTACATAGTAACTATTGAACAAACTGTGCAGTCTGAGGATGGACATCGCGACATACGCAAGATCGTGTATGCAATACGCACCGAAAAAGTTTTTTTCGGCTATCGAAAGTACCGATTTGCTTTTGTAGATAGCGGTTTTGTGTGGAGTACGTAGAAGCGTACTGATATGTCACGTGCGTCTTCGTGAGTGCCCAATGGTAACGCGCTGGTCTGCTAAGCTTAAAAGCACGTTTTCTGAATGTTCTAAACTCTGGGGAACACTATTTATTGTATGTAGGCAACGTATTATTGAAGCAAGTCGTATTGTTCGGTAGTCCTTTGGCCATTTGTAGCTTTAGATGCTACCAATGCTCAATATTTGTCAATACATGACCATCGTTCGGAGACGTTACCGAAAGCATTCTTTGGCATCTGAGCTCACGTGTTGTGTAGAATACTGAATAGACAACTTAAGGTGTAATAATCACATAGGATACGATAGGCCCAAGCCTTCTCTACTGCTAGCATTGGTCAAACCGGATTGTCTATGTAGGCAACTGATTTTGCAGCGTTTGTTGCCATGCCCTTTGCATATTATACTATCGTATTCATGTGCGGGACCTAGACAGACGACCCACGGCAGAGGTATCAGGGTACCACGGCACCACAAAACGGTTAGCAGGAATGGATGCCTTTGCTGAACGAACAACGCATTGTGTTTCTTATGCGATCTGATAAACCCCCTTTGCACCGAGGCTAGCAGTGATAATAGACCGACGATAAGAACTTTCGATATTTGGGGAACAGGACGTAAGTGAACAGCCCCATTTGCTTTGATCTCTGTGCAGAATCGGCCAGCTTCATTTTTACGGTTGGCTGTATTGTCTACTGCCGAGCAACGCTAATGGCGGGGTGAACTGGAGTGGAACATCGGATAATCTGTAAGCTGTGCCGGTGGAAATGGTGGCACGTAAAGAGGCAGCAGAAGACGTGCCCGGATATACAGCTGTTGCCAGAAACAGGCCGTTAGTTGCACAGAACTGATACTGGGTATGACACTAATCAAACGAACGATTTCTAGCCATTGATCTGCTCCAATTGCCATTGCTCGTGAGTCGCCTCAAAAGAACTATGGCTGTTGACCATAGCTAACGATCATCACAAGTAATCCCCTATGTCCGTATGTGCTGCGAAGAATAAGCTGACCGAAAAATGTTCAGACATAGCGTAAAATTCCATTAGGATCACGTAGTTCACTGTACTGTGTATGAACGTGTTGCAGAAAAATTGTTTTTCCAATGATACTTCCTACACCCTAGAATTGAGAACGCATTTGAAAAACAGACCTCATAGGACAAGCTTATATAGTATAACAATAGAAGGTGACTTCTTTAGTCGCTGGCATAACGAGAAAAATTGTCCCTTGCAATAGCGTGGAAATAAAGCAAGCATAACGTAAATATAATAGATCGTGGTGTGTTTTTGTTTCTTGTTTTTGAATTCTTCTGTCTCCGCAATATTTCTATCGGCTGAAACATAGTAAGTCATCATGATGACCGGAAACTTCTACAATGATTGCTTACATCTGTACGCATAAGCCATACGAACACGGTGAAGGAACTAAAACGATTGAACCTCAAAATAAAGCGTCGTAATATAAATTTCTCAAAGCAGAAAGGACGCACACGATCAATCTGGTTGACAGTATTGCGAGTAGACGAGTATTCGGTATAGTCTAGCGTGATTAAAGCATCACAACTGGATCTGTTTGTGTTTCGATCTTAAGGAGTTTCAAGATATTACGGATCAATAAGCGTGCGCTTAGTTCACTTACTTAAAAAAGGACGTCAAAAACTCCATAGTGAAAATGAATCCGCTATTAGTAAAAGGTTTGAAAGCTCCGCTCACGAGGTAAATGATGATACCTAATGAAAATTACACTTTCGGTATCCGTTTATCTCTGCCTGCTCGGTGGTACTCCTTTACAGTTGCCTCCGGGGCAGGGCTCAAGGCAGTCCCCGATACCAATGCCGAAATCGACAAATATTACATCCTGGCAAGCAGAGTGCCTAGAAATGTACATGGACAAGTGCTTTATTCGGCAACGGAAGGTACAGCGCAGCTGGTGGAAAAACTCTGCTGATTTTCGCACCGGATATTTAAGGCATATCTTTTGCCTTGTGAAGACCCAGTTCAATGAAAAAAAATGCGTCACGGATGTTTAACCTGCGCTCGGAATGATTGAAGAGACTGAAGTTTTTATAGCTTGCTTTACTTATGCTCAGTGTCAGAAATGCGCGACAGATATCGTCGAGAAAATATATGGCAAGCAGGCCGTCAAATATGGCCAAATCGTGATCAAGATGGAGTTTAGCCAATGTCATGTGCGAAGGTTTTCAATTGAATCTAGTATGTCAAGAATATCTATAAATATCTTTGCCTGAGACCCACTCACCGCAGACGCAATAATAAATCTTTGGTAAGCAAACTGTTGGGCGCCTACGTTAAATTGTAGAAAAAGCAAGACTGCTGTCGAGAAACGATGAGATGAATTCGTTGGGCCTTAGCAGGTGTAGAAATATACCTTTTTGCTGATCAACTTAGGCTAAATTAGGGACGTCAAAACAATTTAAATCTGTCGTCATAAACGCCCACACTACCTTGCCATTACAAAAGCGTCCAACATAGGCGCTGTTAAATAACACACCATGCAAATTTTAAACACGTAAAGATTTATTATTGTGATAATGACTAGAAGATAAGGAAAAAAAATAAAATCGGACAGATTTCGGTGTATTTGAATTTCGATTGTCAATTTATTATAAAGAGAACATTGGATGCTAGTAATATCTAGCACAATTACTAACAGGTACCTGTGCGTCACGACGTATAAGACCTGTCTTATCATATTCTATTAAGAAGCGACAATTTCTTTGTCGATGCATATATAACTTCCGCGAAATTCAATTCAAACAAAATTAGCTTGCTAAGCGCCCGACGTCCGTCAGATCACAAGCATGCTTTCCGTAATGAACGTTCTGGGAGTAGACGCCACTTGTAAATTATAAGGTAAATATTTTCTTGTCTATCCCTGTGGTTGCCACGCATACGTTGATCAGTTTCATGGAACCTTAGATACGTATGTAAATAACCAGGAAATCGCTACTAAGGCGCCTTTTTTTTCAATTTAAAATTTTTCACTATTCCCTTATCTGTTTATCGCTGATTTGATTCGGATATGAATATTTAAACTATTTTCCCCACTCGTCTGCGTTTGTCTATGACTCATCAGTATCATGGGCTTCATCGTCATCAGTCACTTCTTTTACAACCGAATCTCAATGGAACCCTCGCTACCGCCGGCTATTGGTGGTTCGCGAGTCACAGAGACGGATTATTTTGGCACAAGGTTTCCATTTCAATTACAAATTTCTCTTTACCAAGCCACCTCCATAGTAGTTATATGAATATATTCCGTACAACTAGCACCGTCCGTAGCACAGTAGTAGATACCGATAAATACAGCAGGTAAGATATGAGAAGGGCGGGTGGGTGGCTTGCTGCTAATATCATACGCGTTATTAACGGACTAACCGCGGTAACACCGGTAGGCGCAGCACCCGCTAAGCACCCACAAGTCCTGCATGTACGTATGTATGTATGTATGCATGCATGCATTATTTTTATCGCAAGGAGCCTACCGTTAGAACGAGTGCATCAAATAGGCTTTAGCGGCTCGATCTTAATGCTGCCGATATCGAAGGCAAAGTCGGTTGAAGGAAACTATTCCTAAAATATAAACGACTGATTGCGTCGCACAGGGTCAAAGTCGGCCCCGGATATACTACTAGCCTGTTATCGATGTCCATATTATTTTTTAGTTAAAATTTTCTGGCCGGTGGTGGACGAGACGGCACATTTGTTAGCTCGTTAACCAGTTGATCTCTTTTATTACTAAAATAATCGAACGTTTTGCATGCGCGATAGTGATGGACCACACATGGACGGCTAATCAATGCTCGTATAGCTCCTGGTTGAGTGCTCAAATGAGAAAATGGTAACGCAAACAGCGGGGATTGTGACGGCGGTAGAATAAAATAAGATTTGAACAACCTCTAATGTTTGTACATTTATTTTTTTTTTTTTATATTTTCATCTATTATTATTATTTGCACATTTACTATTACGTAGCTAGATTTATGTATTTAACTTATTACCAAGATTATCTGCTAATGGTAAATGTTCATTCATTAAGTTGAGTAAGTTTGCCTAATTCAGTATATAACTTGGGAATAATTTTTAATATAGCTTAATGACAATTATTTGAACTCTTCTGCGTCATTGTACGCCTCCATCCTTTCCTACGGCCAAATCGAAGGTAATTTATTTCTTTCATTCATTACTAGCAAATAAATAGAGACTACTTGTTACGTGTACTTATTCTTCCAACGTCATAAATCAGCTCTGGGCAATAATCGAGAACACATATATTTTGGCAATAGATACAGAAGGCTATAGAATTGACCCGACGGCCCAGTAACTCTCCATAAAAAATAAGGAGGGCATCATGTCCCACCTTCATCCGACCGCTCGTTCGATTGAGTGAAATATATGTTAATTTTTTCGTATTGTATGACAGCAAAATTTATCGTTAGAAATCCGTATTGGCCAGTCATTACAAGTTTGAGAAATGGCGGACGGGTACCTTCACGAGCGAAATGCATCACCTAGCTAGACTTTTATAATGTCGCAGACAGCTGATCAGGTTTTTGACTAAATTAAAGACTTGAACAGGTAGTGCTTAAACATTAAGAAGAATGTTATTAACTAGAGGCTTCGAAGCTTTCGTGATTTTCATCACAGTAATCCAAAATGTCAAGCATCGTTTTGTCTCGCTGGGATGAATTGCGATTTTGGGCATTGCTGCCGAAGCCCACTATAGGCGTCACCACCGCAAGCTTGAACTTTGCGCAACTGTTTAAACTAGTGTACTAATTACGCTGCCTTCTATAGACTTCGAGATCGAAAAACGTTGTAATAACGCCAGACAAATCAAGGCTGCGTGGAGTTTTTCTTTTCCAACTAATGTAGCACACCGGTCCAGCGGAAGACGACAGGCTTAGTTACTAAACACCCAGAGAAGTAGATCTTTGACATATGCAGGGTGGACGGCACAGTCGGCAAGGAATACCGCAAGCAGGCTCCGTGCCCTGGCGAAGTTCAGGCCCACGACGTGTACACGACGTTTGCAGTAGCTCGAGGATGCGACTTTCAGTCGCGTCGTGTACTTGTGGTCGTTATCAGTTTCGTATTTCGGATATTATCGAGTCGAAGTGTGGCAGGGAGAGAGTGCTAGTCTTCATGTGCGTAACGTTGGAATATTGTTGAAAACTATTTGCACCGTATCTCAAGCTAACTCTACCCTGGCCGGCGTTTCGAAGTCCATTATCAGTTGTTTTTTTCCCCACTTACCTGGATTGATCAGAATTACTAAATCAGATCTACATAGGTAATAACATTGAACAAGCTGCAATTTATTACCGAATTTCGTTGTCTATGTGCTTTATATATGTGCTGAGCTCTTTCGTCTTTAAAATTAAGCTATTATAATTTTTATGCAAGGTACGATGCTATGCTAGAGTATGAACTATATCCAATCTGCATTAAATAGGCGACATAATCTTATTCCGAGACAAAATTAGCTTCTCTCAAATGGCGAAGTATGCTTTGAACTCCACTTGACGACGAAGACGAATATTCAATTTAGATGATTTCCTTATTCTGCTATTTCTATATTGAATTTATTAGAGGTAAGTTTGATACAACTTAAAAAGCTCAAGTTGGGATTACAATTTTAAACCGGCCATTTTGTGCATCTATTTTCTCCTAATCGAAAAACTGGAGTGGTAAACGCTCATTCATTCGATATCAATTTAATACTCGTATAATTTCATATAATAGACACATGTATTCCACTGCTTCATGCAGTTGATTAGGCAAATGTAGGCTAGTCCTGACAAGCGAGATAGAGATATTATAATCACTGTTAATAGCAAGGTGCCGATCGTTTTTTACAAGGCAAGCACGTTGAGGTTGAGGGTGAGGAAGCATTGAGGTTGATTTGTACCTCACATTGAATCTCGCTTAAGTAGGCATAGGGATGCTGGGTCACGGATCAAAACCATGTTACGTACTACGATCGCAAACTACAGTAGCAATACATTTCTTTCCCGTGATCGATGAGAATCCAACGAGGATCCAGCGTACTAGTGTCTAATATACGTATAGGTAACCGCAAGATGATTTGACAGTTCTGGTTGGGAAAGACAGAGGTGATGCTGCGGTTTGGAGCATTTTTGCTGTTACTTGTTTGTCGACAAGGCTGCCTACCACCGTCGCCACCGCTGGCAGCTGCCAGCCGGTCGTATCGTTGACGGAGGAAACGTTTGATATATAATTAAAATGCCGTGACAGCCAATACATCAACAACATCTTTTTCTACTGAGGAAGAGATTTCGTTACATCGGCGGTCTGACTGTGTGTGACGGAAATTCGAGGATGAGCGCGCCTATGCAGATAGACGCTGCTGATGACGATTATCCAGCGACGAGAGCGACGATCTAGTCGACTATAAGAACCCGTCCGAGTTGCGAGAATCGGCATGTTCAGCTGAAGTTTGACAAACAAAACCGAAAGCAACATGAAGTCAACTTTCTTTTCGCTTGCCGTTGCGCTTGCTCTCTTTACTGGCAAAGTGTATACTGCCGATAAATGCCACTTGCGTGAAGTCGATCTGTGCGCTGTACCCATTGCTAGTACTAATAAAGTCCCGGCGACAGAGGAGGAAATCGACAAATACTGCGCCATAGCTACCGAAGCTAAGCAATGCCTTGAGAACTACCTAGCCCAGTGTTCTACGCCGATCCAGAGGGAGGTCTACGCCTGGGCTACCAAGGACCCACTGAAGAACACTGCTGACTTCTGCGAGAAGGGCAGCACCCAGCGCAACGACTATCTTAAATATGCCCCATGCCTTGTCAAGGCCCAATCCGAGGGCAAACAGTGTACTGATGATATCCATGCTGCTTTAGAGAAACTTGAGACTGCCACATTCGCCGACCGTATCCCCACTGCGTGCTGCATTTACCATCGTTACGAGAAGTGCGTGTCGGATATCGTCGAGACTCATTGTGGCAAGGAGGCTGTCACGCTTGCCACAGAGATTGTCCAGCGTCACGCGGGCGTGTCTCCTCAAATAATATGCCATGGATTCGATGGTAGCTCGGATCAATGCAAAAACCTTCTTCCACCGCCTGGCACCAAGGCTTCGGGTAACGCAAAGTCACTGCTCGGTCGTCTCTTCTCTCTTTACGTTTCGTAGACGTTACGCTAAGCGTTTGGACGGATTATCGACAAAAATAAACCTGCTGCTGAGTCCGGACACGTGAAATGCGGCACGCGCTTATGCCAATCAGATGTTCGTATGGAAAATTAAATAGTTTTTGAAGCTTCCAAAGAAAGCTAAAAACGGAGGCTTTAAAAGCTTCTGTGTTAGCCAAACAATATCATTGATTCGAGTACGGCTGAGTTTTAATAAGCGCTAGTGAAAATTCAAATATGGCAAATTATGTTTATCCAAATAAAGTTTGACAGCATTTTTTAATTATTGTATATTGGTTAATTTACCGGTAGTACAGAGCAGATGTAGATTTCTAAGGTATGAATACTTTGGACGTCCTCTCTTACTAAAAAACTACTTACTAAAAGCGAAATATTGTGCAGAAAGGGGTAAATAGAAGGGGAATAGTGGCGATTAGTGGACAACAAGCCCATAGTAGAATAGCTTGGAAAATTAGGTACGAGACTTTTCAAACGTTAATATGCGCCCAGATTTATAGATAGTATATTATGCTCCCGTAATGTGCACTGGTAGCGATTTTGCCTACTAAACCTAAAGTAACTTAAGGTCAAATTCGGGCATGGACGCATTTTTGCTTTGTGTTGATCAGTCGTCTGAGGTAATGCGGTGCAATCTAGTCTAGACTCCAAAAACAAAACATAAATACTCCTATTATCATTTGGCCGCCTTCCTCTTTATTATCCAGATTCTGTATATGAATTATATTTACAATACTGAAATGTCTCTATAAGAAACAAGATCACAACTGCAGAAAACGTTCCACTGTAGTTGTATTTTATTGTCCTTCGGTTAATAACTCGTTAGTACAAGTAGTAAAACACAGTATGAGTATTACTCAAAAATGTAGTAAATTTCGACATGAAATATGTACGTGACGAGAATATGGCCTTTATCTTGGCCAATAATTTTTGCGTCATAGATCCGATCATTCTTTCGTCAACCATCTCTGTAGATTTGGAACACTTCAGATCTTCATGGTATTTCTATAGTAGAATAGATTTCGTTAAGTTAGCATGGTAATATTAGAGAAATTTGAAAGAAAACATTCAAACAGGTGTATGTTGTTCGCACGTGGCCTGACAATACTAACAGGTGATCGTCGTGCACGTACTCACAGACTACTGAGATCTCGTCTTCTATCGTGGTAAGGTATGTGCCCAACTATATTGAGACTTATTAAGGATGATGAAGAAAAATAAATCCTCATAAGAAATGCACGGATGATTCTATCGATCGAAGATGTCTGCTCGCGCTGTACTGGCCTACTAAACAGGATAAAAATATAGCACCCTATAAAAGAGATGGTCAAGCAACTGCTCAAAGGCACAAAAGTTAAGAATATTGTGCGAACTTGTACGGCCTCTTCGAATAGAATTTTTAGGATGAGCGATTACTTTTCCGCTTTAAAGATATTTGAAAATCGCTTTTCCCTGTCTCTTGAAGTCAATTTTGGTCACTTCAGGAGGTGGTACTTCAGAAGATGGACAACAATTGGGAACGGTTGCGGCTATGGATCATACCGTTTTCCCTCATTGAACACTTTATAAAATTAGCCCAATCGGTCTATTCAAAATGTTTATGTTAATTGCTGCTTAGCGACAGGAAATGAGTATAGTGTATTAAACACTATCAAACAGGCACCAATTTAACGTTATAATGAAATTATGCCGATACTGAAAAGAGTATTTCTGTTCCCGGTGTAATATGGCTACATCGAAGCTATCCACACTCCCATTTGATAGAACAGTCATAGGAAAAGTGGCTGACCTCATTCAACCGACAATTCGTCGCTTTATAGCCATCGCTAACTTTACCGACATTGTTGTTTTGGGACGAACTCTCGGATGACGTAGGCGAGGCGTCGATGCGTATGGGCGACCTGAAACGGAAATCAAATCAGTATCCTCTCTTCCATGCATGAGACATTGCCGGGGTCGTCCAACTCGAGAATGTAGAGAGTAGCGTTGGCAGCTGAACAATCTAGGCCCAACAATGCCAGACTCACGGCAAGTAACAAGGCCGACGACAACTCTCGAATGTTTAAGCCAAAATTTAAAGCTGTGGAAAATGGAAATTGTCTCAGAAGCCTGATTCTTCATGTCGTGTATCAATGATGCGATGTGTTGAGATAGGTGTGTTAAACAACAACATAAAAACAAAGCGCTAAACCTTCTCAGTTTGATAAACGGAAGCAAAATAATTCATACAATAATCGCGTTTACCTATTTGTTTTCTAAGTAACGTGAAGATGTTACATGCGCCTAATTTGTCGTTAGCTATTGATTCAATCTTCGTTATAATAATGATCTAATAATGGTGTTTTTTAGATACAGGTTTGCTACAGGATTGAGATGTACGCTGTCACCGAAACGACTTACTGAACCCATTTGGGTATCGCTTATATATTAAATGGACACCCCAAAACATATGTAATGTCTTGCATCCTTACAGCTATACTTACATTTCACTAAATCAAATAAATGGTTGGCACAATTTCGAATTTTCAATATATGGACAATATACCCCTGGTGCTCTTTACGATTTAATACATATAGTAATGTACATTCGAATTGTGGAAAGCTTTGGCTGCTGCCAGTCAAAGGCCAGGTCTTTCTAAAACAAAACAACAAACTTATCCTGGCGTGCAATAATGCGTTGTTTTTTTTTTCCAATCTGAGCGAAAATCAACTACTATCCAATCTTTTGCGCTAAACGAACCCCCGTCCAAATTAATAAGATTGACCGTCTATGTTATTGCTGATTTGCACGCCATTTATTGTAAACACTAGGAAGATTGGCATGAAACAAACCGGAGAGGTCTTAACAAAGTTTCAATCCAAAAGATCTGATACAGAAAGTAGCGGGCGTTTTAACGAAGAGAGTATCAATCTAGATAAATCGAATTTTTTCATCTTTTGGCCCTTCGTATTTTTAAGGTATGTATTCTGCTATGAGCCCAAAATTTAATTCACTTCTTTATATATACATATAAATAACTTATTTTTTTTTTACCTACTGATACTTTGCTGAGTTTACGCCTCATTGTATCGTCTGATGAACGATTAAACGGAAACTCGATTGAAACCCGATTTCGATTGCAATATAATTTGATAAAATAAAGCTGACCATCAGAGGTAGCACCTTTAGCATATGCAGAAGACGTGGTTGAGATGTTGTTTTCTTATTTAAATAGAGTTATAGAAACAGTTCATCGTTCTTCCCAAAGCCCAATGCCCCTATCCACTTCATTAATTACGTAAGCCCGCATACTTTATAAAGTATAATTCAACGTTACATTCCCGTTCAAAGGCACGTTTTCTTGTGGCCTGGTCGCTTCTTCGAAAGGCATTTATTACATTAGTCGCTATTGAACGTCTGACTAACACCAACACTTACCAAAACGATCTTCCGAATAGTTTAATAAAGATCACTGAGACTGTTGGTAACAAAGCTACTTTACAAAATCATCAAATTCAACTTTACTTTATTGTTTGTCAGCCTATAGCTAGTAGCAGTTACGTGGTACGCTTCTTACGGCATCCACCTCAAGACGGTTTCATTAAACCAATGAGATTATATATACATTAATCATGTAAATGTATTTATGTTTGATAAAAATATTTGCTCATAGAACATACCTTCACGACGGCAATAATGATGACATAAGAGATAATACGTCTGTTTCCGAGTAGACTTTTTCTTATGAATACTCTATATATGATCGAAGAGTGGTTAAAATTTACACAACATTAGGTCGAGCAATTGATTTCGTTGGGGCCATCATTTCAGGAACTTATTTTAATGTTGATATGGCTATTATGCCTTGATACGCTTCGTTTCCGAATGCGCAGCCGTTGATATGGGTGATATAATGCTACAGGGAAGAGGCCGGCCGTTGTGCTTCAATATCTAGAGCCCGCATTGTAGCTTATATATCTATTTATTTTTTTTTTTTAGAAATACAGGAAGAAAAAGAGGCAGACCGAACGCAAACTAGTGTTAAAGTCGACTGCGCCGTTGCGTTGCATTTGACTCGCGCGTAACGGTGTTGTCAAGGTGACAAAATATCGCTTAGAGGTCACTTGTTGATGTAGATAAGTTTCGATTAAAAGAGTTATTATGTTTTCTTGACGTATCAAAGAGAATAGGATTGTCGTCTGGGAAGAGAAAAAATATTAGTTTGATGAAGCGATTGTTTGACGAAAGACCTCACAAAGCTGCGGACACAGGACATTGCAAGTATTAGGCTTTAACGGAGCCTCGTCAAGGTCCATCAACCATTTGCACTTGAACCCTAAAGGCTTTCATCGTAGACGCTCTGTCCATTTATCCGCTGGCCTTGGACGCACTTACGGCGGATTTTATCTTCACGAATGGGATCCGCGCGTGCTCGATACTGATGCAAAAGTTGTGCGAACGGCGTTTTCAGACCTACCTGAACATGTCCGACTTCCGTGCAAGAGGAGGTAATTGAGTTTATAATATCCAATACCAAAGTTATCGTTAGGGACTGGTGTAGAAAGGGTGCCTTCCTTCAATTCAAATATATAAAACATGCTCTGTGCACGAGCGAGGTATAGCTGTGAAGGCATGGCACGTTTGACCGGTGCGCACATTGATGCGGCGCAAAAGCCGAAGCCAATGCCGCGCCTAGCAACATCTGCTGTATTTATGTCCGTTATCAACAAGGCTCGCAGGATATTTTCAAGTCCAGATTTGGCAAAAAGACTATTCAGTACAACTCAAGTTGGCCTGTAAGGGCCTCGAAAACAGACCTAAACGGCGTAGAAGCAAGAGGCAACGCCAGATCAGCTGTCGGATAGCTGCTCAAAATGTACTCAATAGAAAAGACAGATTTCATCCGGGTGCTATGTTAGTCCTTATTATCTACACAGAAAGTTGACCTATTTGGTTAAAGTCCACAGCCCTTGACAATAAAAATATCTATCACGCACGAAGTGTGAAATAACAATATTCTTTTTTCTGTCGTGATTTATTCGTGATCGTACACCTATTTAGCCGTTTACCAATCGATCGTCAACAAATCAAAATACATTGCTTGAAAACAAATAAACATATAAAGGCATTGGATAATATTCATCTCTATGATACAATGGTCTTAATACAGCGTACGATTTTAAAATCAAGTAAATCTGCAATTACTTTTGATAATAACAATAATTTAAACTTTCTTCAATGAAAACTATTTCCGTTTAAGTGATTATTTGCTATTCTACTAAAAAAAAATAGCTGAAATAATTTTTTTAAAGATATAATATATCAGACTAGCAAAACGTGAAGATGTTATTATAAATTTAACAAAATCTACCCTCAACATTTTTCGATAAGACGCTTACTGTAAGTTGCAGTTCTAGTAAAGCACTAGAAGCACAAAACTCTTTGTCATCGTTAAAAGCGTTCGACTGATATTCTTCTTGGCTGTTGGTCTTTGGTAGTAACTATGCAATCGATGATAGAAACGGTTTGCTGTTTTTCTAGGGAAGCAGAATCATTTGGTTATTACCTGAATAAGTTCCTATGAACTTTTCCCTCATAGGAGAGCTATTCAGCCAAACAACGATGGAGCGGAAAAAGAAAAGCAAACAATTCTAGGTCATCCGAAAAAAAAACAAGATATATAGGTTATGGTTGTAATTTGATTTGTCGAGATATGGTCACTATGTTAACAATGAATTTTAGATCGATACTTAAATTAAATCGTTATAATAGATAAATATAGTTCAGATAGCAGAGATAATTCTTTTTAGCTCAACTTTTATTCGTGTTTTTGTTACTAGTCTTTTTTTCTAACTTACGGCATACACATTTAAGGGTGTCTTCCCTATGATACCGCGGGTAGAAGCGTTTACGTTGCCCATGCTCCGTACAGCACGTTTTTCCTGCACAAAGATTAACTAACGAAGGAGGGCATGTATGTAGAAAACAATCTGCCGGTAACCTTATGTTTAAAGAACCACTGTTCCAAGCCTGCCTAAAGCAATGATAGTTACAACTCGTGATACCGCAAGATTGAAGCGTGGAACCTTGAAATTCTCTCGACGGCAATAGCCTTGAATGGGTTTTCCTAAACTCTCAAAAAAAGGAATACTATCTGCATTTAAAAGCGAACTTACAAAGAGCCTTATATAAGGACACATTGCAATCCAGTTTAAAATTATAGCCCTTTAGTTTTAGAGAACTGTATGTTTTCGCATACATAGGGAACTTCGAAATCATGTCTAAATAGCGAAGCAATGTGTCACACAGTACACAGTGTTGTATTCTCGAGAGCTCAGCAATCATAATGCTTGACTAATGACTCTAAAACGAATTAAGCAGTAAGTCCATTATTAATTGGATATAGACCTGTAGGTCCCAAGTGGCTCCACGGTTTCACCAACCCAAGTAGCACCTCAGCCCGGTGTAACACAAACATTGCAGTACGTTTTTGTCTGACGATGCACAGACCCCTTTGAAATGCTTAGACTTTGGGCTGCTTTCGGTGCTTTCCACTCTTCGTTTATACATCGAGTACCAGTTCACGGTGGAAGCCTTCTGGAACCATTATTGAACTATTAGTTCGGTGCTGTTTTTTTGTTGTTGATTCGATCGTTTCGGAATACGGTAACTCACTAATTGCGAGACAGATAGACGAAGCAGTCTATAGGTACGTCAAGCATTGTGTAATTGCCCGGGTTACTATATTAAACTGCTTTCGAGTCATTTCGCGTTTGACAACTGGCAAGCTCGTATGTCAACATGACAGTCTTTTGTGGTTTGTCCTGCTATTGGACCAGAAAAAGCACCTACAACATCTAGGGTAGGATGAACGACGTGCAGTAAAGCTAATCTTTAGTTAGTGGAATCCAGTTTAGCAGCGAAGGACGATTCGCATCGGATACCATCTAGAGATAATTGTTTTTGTTAAGTAAAGACCGGTTGGTTCTGCGATACTGATCATATAGGACTGCTCGAATATCGATTAGATCGGATTGAGTGATATCTTAAGTTTACTTATGTATTATGTAATAGAAATAGATGTGACTGCCTGAGCTATTATTATTGGTATCCTTATTTTCAAAATTTAGCTTGGACGAGAGCCAATCGAACCGGCGCACATAACAAATATGTATTTCGAATAAGGACAACGGTCGAGACTATATAAGAAACACGACAAAGAGGCGTAATCCAGTTAATGCACCTCAACTTTCTTTCTTGGTTCACTACTATTAGCTAAAATCGCAGCTCCAGCAGGTAACTTTCAGCTAAGTCAAAAGCTGACACACTAGGCACTGAACTAACCTTTTTCTGCTCGAGCCAGTTTTGTCAGCTAGTATGAATATCTACCTTGGTATCGCATTTGTGGCGCTTCTTGGAAGCTTACCAAAGGATGTATTGGGCAACGGTTGCCATTTGCGCGAACTCGACTTCTGCGCCGCTGCTGCCGCAGGTATCAACAAGGTCCCGGTTACTGATGAAGAAATTGACAGGTGCTGTTCCATGACCAAGGAAGTCAAACACTGTGTTTTTTCATTTTTCGACAGATGTGCAACACCTCTGCAGCGAGAGATTATAAATTTTATCACCGAAGGTCCAATTAAGACCGCCGAACGATTCTGCGTGAAAGGTGACGAACTCCGAAATCAGTATCTTCAGCAAGCAGGGTGTTTGGCCAAGGCCCAGCCCAACGCAAAAGTGTGCTTCGAAGATGTCAGAGCCGGCCTGGAGCGACTTGAAGTAGCGAAGTTCGATGATCGAATTCCAATGGCCTGTTGTATTTACCGTCGCTACAAAAGATGTGTCATCGGTGTGATTGAAAAGCAATGCGGAAAGGAGATAATTGAATTCGGCGAACTCGTGGCTAAAATGATTATCGGTAACACGGTCAACGTTGTGTGCCAGAGTTACGATTCAAATCCTGTCTGTAACGCTATTTTGCCGCTTCCCGGTACCAAAGCTACAGGTCATTCGAAATCAATTTTATCCAAGCTACTCAGTGTCTACACATTAATGTAAATATTTTACAATTTTACAGCCTGTTAATAAGATCAAGCGGGGGGCGGGGGGCGGGGGGGGTACTGGCACCTTACATTGCTTGTTTGCTAGGGAATAAATTAAGTTACTGAAATGCGTGCGCCTTACAAGCCACGCCTGCTTGAAGACATTTGTTTCGGTTAAACATAATTCATAACAGCGAATGATCGTTGTCATAATAGTGACTTAACAACTGGGCCCTGTTTGTGAATCTTCAATACTTCAAACAGCTGTTTAATAACAGCTAGATAAAATAGTCATTTTCTAATGAGACATACGACGACATCTCTATCCGATTTTAGTATTCTTTTCATTGATTTTCGATTCAGGCCGCGTTTATATCGACATGACGGCAGTCTTTAGCAGTGTTCAGATATAGCCATTTCTAATACAGAGGTAAAACGTTATCATAGAAAGATACCACTTACTCTTTCGGCTATCCATATACCGTTAATCAAAGAAGTCCGTCACTACTACGCATCACAAAGAAAATCTTCGATATTTCGACGACGTACACTTGTTGATAGAGAATTTAGATCAGTTGTGTCAGCGTTATGTTATTGCCATCATGGCCAGGGTTTGATGAGGGAAAAATCAATACGACACGAGGGTTGTCCTCGAGCAGCGCAATCAATATTACCAGCTAGTTCTATGATTCTAGATATGATAAACAACACTCAAATTATATGTTGGATCGTCATCGAAAGCTCTAAAATAAAGATAACCTTCTGACAGTAATAGAATCGTTGTTGTCAGTGTACATGTACATATGTCTAACAATAATTTACTTCTGCAATAGTGATTAATTAAACAAGCCGATGAAAGGACCGATTGGAACAACGTTGGCCTGTTACACATCGCGACCGCCGTTTTAAGAAACACAACATTCAAATTTAACACAAGATTCATTCGTTGCTATTGCTGGTAGGTTTTTACTTGAATATAGACTCTTCGATCATATACCCGTATGTGCATACGTTGTTTGCCCCGTATTTGCCCCGTAACGACTTTTTCCAGCGAGAAGGTCGCGTCGAGACAAGTGAATACTTCATAAGTTACTATGGCAATCATGGCAGTAGCACAGGACCTTTAAATTGTTCCCTCATACTCGCTGAGATGGCGCGAGAACGCATAAAGGCTGCATAGAAACTAGGATCGTAGTTGTCACAAGAACATGTGGCACAAAAGCAGGGCCCATTGGTATTATCGTTGAGCGTGGTATTCGTAAGGGAAGTTTCATTGGAAACGTGCTTTTGGACACATTAAATATAAATATGTGTCTGATTCAATAAGGCTAGAACTGCCCTCTACGAGACGGACAGTTCCGCCTTCTATATTACATTAGTCATGAAGTGTTTCAGTAACAGCTCAGACAAGTCATACGCAAGACACAACGAAGGGCAAGATTGCAAGGAGTGCTCTCGAAGTAACTTCATATAATAGATGACGTAACAATATTCTATTCGAAGCGACTTCAAAGGCGTAAGGCAATAGCTCGATCTTTTCATCGTGGTGTACTCAGCGTCAGAGTTATATATGAAGAAAAAAAATATATATATTCAATGAGACGGCAAAGTCTCTTCGTGCTTTTCAGCTACTGCTGTTAGTACCTATAAACGCAGTCGACACTACAATGAATCTCTTGTAACACCCAAGAATAAAAACGAACCACGTTATGAAGACGACAACGTAAGCCTTTTCTGAAAATTTGAATAAAATAAAAATATCTATTATAAAAATAACTTTCCTATAGTCGATTGCCAAAGCGAAATTATATATGATGCTGCTAAATAAATTCTTGTGCTGACTGATGTTTCTTCAAAACTGCGAAACGCTACATAATCACAGTTAAGTCCATACAGAACTGGCTACTTGTCTGAAAGTTATATAGTTACTGAACTTACTGCGCCGATAATAATAACCTTTAGGCGATTTATGAAGTGCTTCATGTGCGTGCAATCGTCAGATAGTCTTTATCATTCAAGTAATACCCAACTATGGAACAGATAAATTCTATGGGTTCATTTCTCGGATAAACAAAATTGGTGCCCATTATCATCATCAGAACCTCTCTCCTTCTGAGCGTCGAACGCCGTGCCAACTGGCAACTGCTGACCAAATCCAGTACCTTTTCATCAGCGATGAGCCTCGGTGGTAAGCTGCTCTTGTGAGCTCTACGGAAAACGAAGTAAGAGAAAAATCGAAAAGAACATTTAAATAGAACCAAGCAAAGTGATGTCGTCTAATCCGATATACTTATTTAGCGGTGTATTATCTTAACGGGCCGATCTCTGTTGAACAGATAGTTTGCGGTAAGATTCACGGTGTTGGTGCACTATCTCAGTAGCAAGTCAAGAAGATTCGGTTACTCATTTATCTAGCGGTTTATATATACTGCCGCTATCTTCGAATCTATGAGTCTCTGAAAAAACGAGATTAGTAGCGTTTCTGTCCTATTAGCCTACAGGAGTCAAGCAACTCTACAAGTCACATTGTATAATAGCAGAAGCAGACTATTGCAGGGTGTTGACCTTCGATTTATATCGCTTCACCGTATTTGTTCTACTGATACGTCCGTCCACGGTGTTAGCCTCGTTTCTCTCGTCTGCAGAGAGAGAAACGTCGTTTTCACTATCGACTTAGCGTCTTTTGAAGCGGATCTGGGGATATTCTAGATGACATTGCAGTTTCCATAGAACCGCGCCAGAAAAAAATGTACACATTTAAAGCTCGTTCTAAGCTGTTTATTATAATATGATCGATTTTTGAACCAAATGGCTTTTTTTTTTCTGGAAACGCGGCCAGTGCTTGAAGCCAAAATGCTATTCTTGCTTTCATTACGCTAATATCAGTCGTCTTCCTTGGTTGGGCTTCCTTGGTTTAGCGGTCCCAAAATTAAAAGACGGACTGAAGAGCCGGCGAACGGCTGTTTGATTGCGCGAGTGCTGTAGCATTCAAAGGTGATGCAGCACCCACAAATATATGACGTCTACCGATAAGCTCAAGTTTCGGCCGGTTCGGAAAAGCAGAGAAAATGCGAAGGCACTATACCGTAATATATTAACGTCATTCGTCGCTTTAGACTTACGAATAAGGAAGATTCGAACTAATTAAAACCGCGGTCTGCAGCACCAGAATATAACAGACCATGTTCGAGCTGACGGCAAGAAAACAGAGTCTTAGTTTACCCTGTATCATCCTTCTTTACAAAGGAAGATACAGCCTCTCGTAGTATGCGTTGCAGCTAAGGCTGCATTTGGCACCACAATAATGGTTACGAACAAATGTCGTCTTCGCCGGTTGGATCTTGCGGTGGTGCAAGATGCGGTCACCGAGGCCAAAATCAATAAACTAGGCAAGAAACTGTACGGCCGAGTGTGCCGCACTTACCTAGTTTCGGACAGGGGTTCATTTGGCCAGAGAGATTCTGCAGAAGAAATGATGCCTTGAACATGCCCTGTGTGGCTAGAGCAAAACTTCAGGGAAAGTAGTGCCTGATCAAGGTACAGGCTGCATTTGAGAAGGTCGAAGAGTACAAAATTTAAAGGACCGCGCCACTGCAGTATGCTGCGTGTACACCCACTGCAGTCGGACGACTACTTCAAACATTTTTAAAGTATTATGCCAAGGCTTTGAGTTTAATCCAAAATACTCTACATTGCTACTATCGCCAGGATCGAAGTCCAAGGGTAATTGCAAGTCGACTATTTCTGAACTGTTTAGTGCCTATGCCTCAATTCAAGGTATCGTAATGACGCCAGTGAACGCCATGGTAACGCGATATACGTAAGCTATTCCGATAATAACTTTGTCTTATGTGTAATGCAACTAAAGAAGCTTTTGTCCCAGGAAAAGGATGCCACTTGAACGTTGTGCTTGAGTGTGTATCTCATTAAGGCAGCTTTTATGGAAGCTAGGAACATTGGTGTGAAATACGCAAGATAATATCGTTTACTTTTGAGATAGAAGTTCTTTGCAAATACTTATTATGTTTCACGATATGAAGGAATGATGGGAAAGCTTTTCAAACCATAATTTGGAGATTTTAAAAGTATCCTTTCGCTTAGCATCTCTTCGGAAAGTAGGTCGACTAGATCGTACCTTGTATCTTAAAACAAAAGTGACAGGAAGAAATAACGGTAATATCATTCGGCAAAAGCTATTTCAAATCTTTCGAAGTTGTTCGATGGTCTCTGACGTAAAATTTGCAACGTGTATAAGATCGCTCGTTTGGTCAGTGGAATCAGATTATAGTAGAATATGATGTGTCTAACGTGGCGCTGACGCAGTTCCGAGCAAAAACATTTGATAAATAACGTTAATTTTGTATTTGTGTGCAAGCTTTCTAAGCTATATATCAAAGCTTTTCTATTCAACGACTGTGTTTCCTTTATTAATTGTTGTTAATTTTTGTATTTTGTGAAGCACGTGTGAAACAATAGCGCTGTCGTGAACGAGCAGTTTTTATCTTAATGGATAGCTAAATACCCATTTTTAGACTTCATTAGTAGTTAAATTAACCAGTTCGTGGTTTAATGTCTTATTCTGTGTTCTGTGCAGTTCGCCTTCACAAAGCCTTATGGGTTTACACATCTTGCACCTCGTAAACCTTTAATTCAATGCGTACGAGGCTTTCATGACCCGTAGAACATTATTCTGTGTATATGTCACCGTAGATAATGAGTTTTTGCTCAAACCCGTCACCTAGTCCACTTATCATGATTTGAATGATAGAAATCGAAGCAGTAACAGCAATATGCGCTCACATGCTACGTTACATTTGTCATGCGTTGTGCTCTGCCTTTATCGTTAGCTAGTTTATGTATCCTTCAGTTTTTCAAACTAGACGATGAGTGATGGAGAAGATCTTTATAGGCTGTTCACAAGGCGGAGAAAAAGAAAAAACGGGCACGCGAGACGTAGTAACCTCTCGCAAATGTTTGCAAAGCCTCATTACAACATTGCTATCTGTTCCTCACCCTGACGTAGAG